CTGCCTCCATCCTCAAGGACCCCACCCACCCCCAGCACGGACAGTTCGCCTCCCTACCCTCTGGCTGGAGGTTCAGAAGTGTGATATGCAGGACCTCCAGACTGAAAAACTCTTTCTTTCCCTCTGCCATCAGACTTCTAAACAGCTGAGAAGTTTATTACCAGGAAATACATGATGTACTGTCAACCTGTACTGTTTACATTCTCAGTTTGCACATGCATAATTGCACATTGACTGTTGACTGCTGCATGTTACTCCCATGCAGCATGCATTCTTTTATTATATTCTGATATATTTTTATTATAGTGCTGCATTTGCTGCTTAAAGTGCCTTAGATTTTGTGTTACTTATTTATCTACTTTATATTCCATTTGTATTTTGTGGCATTCATGTGGACGGCAAAGTAAGAATTTCATTGTACAGGGAAACACGTTTCCTGGCTGTGCATATGACAAATAAACACATGGCCTTGACCTAGGTAGCGGTACCATCAGTAGGTAGGGGTACCAGCAGTAGTTAGTGGTAGCATCAATAGGTAGGGATACCATCAGCAGGTAGGGGTACATTCAGTAGTTAGGGGTACCATCAGTAGGTAGGGGTACCAGCAGTAGGTAGGGGTACTAGCAGTAGGTAGGGGTACCATGAGTAGATAGTGCTACCATCAGTACGTAGGGGTAGGTAGGTACTTTATTGATCCCACAGTGGGGAAATTTCTGTGTTACAGCAGCAATAGAGAACAACCAACATAACACCGTAAGAACAGACACATAAGAACAGAACTTCATAGAAACACGGAAAAGAACACAACGAGGACACAGCTGCTGTAACTTGCTGCCACTCCGCGCGGCGCATGCGTACGTAACTATGTAGTAACAAAGAACACTTAGTCTTAAGTGTTAGTAGGTAGTGGTACCAGCAGTAGTATCTCTTCTTCCCAGTGCGTTACAGATTGATGTTAAGGTGTTGATGTTTTTATGTCTCTCACTGATTTGACACCGTGCTCCCTCTTTAAACTTTTAAACCACATGCACCATCCAGGCCACATTTACTATGTCCAGGCTACATGCTGAAGTGATTCAGACCTGATGTGTGAGCAAACCAAATGAGATGCTCTTACATCAGATATGGGCCACCTGCACATGCACTCCTGGATCGACTCATGGTAACATGAACTGTGGAACAATCTGCCCCTCTGGTTCTGCACTGTGGGGACACGTCTGATAAATGTACAGACGTGTGTGCATGTACATTCCACAGTCTTATCGCCACGGAAACTGGCAGCACACAATTCCTGTTGGTGCCCAGAACAAGGAAGTTCTCCTCCCTCCTTCTGCAGACTGAAACTGAGCTTGTACCTCTCCGTCTTCTCTTCTGACTCCTCTTCCCTCAATTCTTCTTCTGTCCTTTCTATATTTCATGCCATCACTCACCTCCTGTTTCACTGATGGTCTGTTCTTTCTTGCCTTTGTTTTTTTTGTCCTTCCTTTTTTCTTTTATTTTTGCCTTTGTCTCCTTCCTCCTCTCCTTGTTTCCTTCTGCTCTTCCTCCTTTCCTTATTATTCTTCCCTAGCTTCTCCATGATTGTTTCCACATTTCTCTCTCTGTACCCTCCATCATTTCCTCATCATCTCTCTTAACTCTGTTGCTCTAATGATATAGCTGCTGTTGCCGTAGCGATGCAGCTAATTAGTGACACCTGCTGTGATGATGGGACAACACCTGTGTATGTTTGTGATTGGCTATATTGTTCTCAATCAGCCTCTCTGCTTCTGTGATGGTTCAAAGATAGGAAATGTGTGACCCCCCCGCTGTCTCAGAGCTGATGATATATCGACCGGTGGATGCACCAACTCGCACAAAATGCTAGTGCTAATATTTGCTCTCAGACAGTGGACAACCGTGAAAACCAGAGTGCAGCTGTGAGCTGTTGTGAACAGGAAGCTAGGAACTGACATTTTTAACCACGGACCTTTTACAGCATAATGTAAAACGTGAGTTAAAATTTTAGTCAAATTAACATCAGATGTTTCGATTTAAAAAGAAACTTCTTGTGAGTGATGGGCTTCATAACGCCAAAAGCTATACTGAATCTCCTCTCCTACTTGGTTTCCTCCATCCAGTCCTTCTTTCATTCTACCCTTTATTCCCTCCTTCCTTCTGTTCTGCATTGTTTCCTCCCTTCTATCCTTTCTTCCTTCCTCCATTTCTCAGTCTTTCCTTCTTACCTTCCTGTTGCTGTTAAATTTGTTGTACTTTGAATAGATTTTTGTTTGGTTGACCTTTTCCTCTCGTGCTCTTCATACGTTTTGTCTTTTGGTGAACTCACATCTGCTTTTCCAGCCTTGTCCATGACATCCGCTACACAAACACAGAGTTAGACCCACTGCACATTCTCCAGTCAGCTGTGTTCTCATGCAGGTGCTGTCAAGAAGAAAAGAACTTTTTTCGCACGAAAAAAAAGAGAAATTCCTGCCGCTGCTGTACACCAAGTGTGTGTGTGCTCACCCAACTAACTGCAAGCCATCACACACTTTAGAGATGACAGAGCTTTTAAAGCCACGTAAAAGTCAATGTGGATCAACCAAAGAGACATTTTTAAATCTAATATCAAGCGGTGATCGGATGTTCTGGGTTCTCTGGTTATTTAAAAGGAACTGCTGTTTAGCCTGAACACAGGAGCTACTGTTAGATGCAGTGGTGGAAAGTAACTAAGCACATTAAGTACTGAAGTACAGTTTTGAGGTATCTGTACTTTACTTGAGTATTTTGATTTTCTGCAACTTCATACTTTGACTTCACTACATTTTAGAGGCAGATATTGTACTTTTTACTGTCCCTGAATGCCTTCCCTTGCATGCTGTTGCCAGTCACATGACTCCACTCACCTGTGTCCTCTTCCTCTTTACTGGTTGGTCTATTTTACACTGGTCTGTTGCCAGATCATCGTGCGTGTTGCTCACAGTGTTCCTAGTTTACTCCTGTTTGGATTTACTTACCCGCTTTGGACTCTGCTCGGATTTTGGACTTTTGCCTGTCCCCTGGATCGCTCCCTGTGTTTGGATTATTACACATTTTTCAAACTCCTGCTTGATATTCTGGATTTTTTCCTTTTTTAATTATCATTATTATGTATTGGCCTGTCCTAGACTGATTCAGTGTCGTGCAAACCTACTCTGGGCCCATATTCACAAAGCATCCTAAGCCAAAAGAGTTGGTGGTTATGAAATTGTAAGAAAAATCTTAGAGCTGTAATGTTTTCTAAGAATTTCCCTTTAAAATTAAGACTAAATCCTAGTAAAGATAAAAGCTATTCACAAAGCAATTTAGCCCCTAAAAGAGCTCCTAATGTGAAAACTGATGAGTAGCGAGGAAGACTTTTACGACAAGAGTTTCTTAAGCAAAGGATAACATGATACAAAGACAAATGCTGAACAACAGTGAGTTAATGAAATGCTACAGATTAGATCATACAGTGATAATGTTTGTGGCCAATCTTATTGGAGATCGGTTGCCCTGCGGCTGCCTCAGTTATGTGCTCCCATCTCCTTCTATTGTTGTTGTTTTTGTTCTCATCGGTTTTCTGCAACCCTTCTTGGATTACTTTTACTAGAGACGAGCTCTTGAACATCCGACAGTCAAAGACTAAGCCTAGAAGAGATTTGGAGGTCAGTCCATAAGTTTCTGTCATAAATTAACACCAACTTCAATAAATAAAAAAGGATCTGATCAGATACAGGATCATGAAACAACCTGAACCAGGGGCAAAACAATTGATCAGGACTTCCCTGTAATAAAGGGGTTCAGACAAGGTAATAAAAGTGTGTGAGTGTGTGTTACCTGGTAGTAGTTTGGCCAGAAGATGGACACAGCGAGTTCTACCTCCTTCCACTTGTTGTAGGTGGGGCCTGAAGAGTTAAAGACGGGAATTCCCAGAGGGCTGTGGTTCTCTGCAAGAAACACACATAGGAACACACCTAAGAGCTCCAGGGGCCCGTTTCAAGAAGTAGGTTTTGTTGAAACTCTGAGTTTGTTAACCCCGAAATGAGGAAAACTCAGAGTTTTCGGTTCCAGAAACAGAGGTAACTTAAACCCGTGAAAGCGGGGTAAGTTAAACCCGTTTCAAAAAGAGAGGTAATCTAAACTCAGAGTCAGTTACTATGGCAACTTACT